TAACACACTAATAAGATATTGTATGACTTTCTCAGCTTACAATCAAAATGATTTTCACCACAAATCACGTATTACGTAAAATTCATATGTTTGACCGACCTAAGCCAAAACCGAGCGCACGGACATTCTCTTTGTATTTCGATTACAAAAACAGGATAACAGAGAGATGTTAGCATCTAAACTACCAAAGACTATAATCAAGCAGAGTTTTCACCGATACAAAGACCGCATCCTTTTAAAATTTCTCTTTATTTTTATTTTGCCCTTGTGTCAGGTATCAAATTGATTTCATTTTCTAGTTACTTTACATGTATATCTTGATAAACTTTAGTACATATTTGTGTATGTATGTTTTCATTATTTTCATATCTGAGCATGGTATTATTCATATCCCTGAAAAATGAAAACAAGTTGTTTGCCTGTTTGTAATATGGTTGTTTTTACGTATTTACCACATCTGCATTACAATTTTGCTATGTTTCCGTTGTAATTTAACATACAGCATTATACCAAACAAAACTAAATGTTTTTTGATAGAGCTGTGCATTGTAATCTTACGGTTTGATTTTATGAGCCACTGTATTCCCAATTTCCCGAAATCACAAAGGCTGATACACGAATTTTATAGACATGTATACACGATTATATATATCACCCTATCTAGCCAGAGTAAGCCATTTTCATTACATATTTAAGTTTTTTTGTTGGAAACATAATACAAATCTAAACAAACAAGGAAGCTTATCACGAACTTAATACTACGTCACTGTTACCTGGACGACATATCTATGCGTGTGTGTTTTGCTCTATTTTCACTTCTAAGATGGAACCGTCATTCCAAAGGCATGTTTCAAGTTTGTTTTCCTTTTCTAACGCCTCACTGCATTCTGAACAGATGGACAAATCCAAGACCATTATTTCTCTCATTTCCGTGGGTGTAATATAAAGCTTTCCGGGGTAATAAAGCAATTTACAATTTTCTTCTCTTACCCTGGACTCGTGTATCTCTTACCCTGGTCTCGTGTATCTCTTACCCTGGACTCGTGTATCTCTTTCCCTGGACTCGTGTATCTCTTACCCTGGTTTCGTATATCTCTTACCCTGGTCTCATGCATCTCTGACCCTGGACTCGTGTATCTCTTACCCTGGACTCGTGTATCTCTTACCCTGGTTTCGTATATCTCTTACCCTGGTCTCATGCATCTCTTACCCTGGACTCGTGTATCTCTTACCCTGGACTCGTGTATCTCTTACCCTGGTCTCGTGTATCTCTTACCCTGGACTCGTGTATCTCTTACCCTGGTCTCGTGTATCTCTTACCCTGGACTGGTGTATCTCTTACCCTGGACTCGTGTATCTCTTACCTTGGTCTCGTGTATCTTATACCCTGGTCTCGTGTATCTCTCATGCATCTCTGACCCTGGTCTTACCCTGGACTGGTGTATCTCTTACCCTGGACTCGTGTATCTCTTACCCTGGTCTCGTTTATCTTTTACCCTGGTCTCGTGTATCTAATACCCTGGTCTCGTGTATCTCTTACCCTGGACTCGTGTATCCACACTTTTCCCGGTGTCAGATATTCTTTTCTCCCATCCTTCACAGGTGTGTCTCCCGTTGTAGCCGTGAAGGATTAGCTTAATTGTCACCCTTTACAGGTGTGTATCCCGTTCTAGCCGGGAAGGATCAACTTTTCTCCCACCCTTCACAGGCGTCTACCGTTTTGGCCAGGAAAGATTAATAGAATCCATCCCTGATTTGAGTAAGGATAAGGTTATTCAAATCCAAGAGATAAAATATTGAGCAGGAGACCCGAGGCTTTGCCGAGGGTCTTTTGCTCAATATGTTATCCCGAGAGTTTGAATAACCTTATCCTTACCTCACATCAGGGATGGATTCTATTTATTGCTTATCACCTAAAACCCGTAAAAACAGTTACTCTTCTAGTAAAGTTGTAAACTGTCCGCACATTTCTCATTTGGATATGAAGCCCGGATGGCAATTGTTAGTGACGTCAATGACCCTAACTAACCCCAAAACGTCATAAAATGACGCCACGACGTGTTAGCGATCTAGACCCGTTGGTCGGATTGAATTTTCTAGCACCACCGGAAAGGCGGATATCTCGGTCTAGTATGCAAGAAAAGCTTTCCTCTTACCCTGGACAGGTGTATCTGCACTTTTACCGGTGTGAGATTTCCTTGTCTCACCCTAGGGTTGAGACGGGGGATTCCCCTTTTCAAAACAATGGCATGACGTCACTTCAACAATACAATGACGTCACGTCAACAATCCATCAACGTCACGTCAACCCTGAATTTAGCATGTAACGTATCATTACATTGTGTATATGATACAAAATGGTAGAACAGGGTAAGAGAAAAAGAATCATTCACCCCTTGTGGGTGAGATAGGGGAATCTCAACCTTCGGGGAAAGATTCTTAAGTTGCCAAACATCGGCAAAGCCTCGTGTTTGGCAACTTAAGAATCTTCCCCCTCGGGTTGAGATTCTCCTATCTCACCCCCAACGGGGTGAATGATTCTATTAGTCACCCCCTAGGGGGAGATAGCCTTGTGCCGATTAGCACGTGTTCAATTGTGACGTCATAAAAAGCGTCATCGGTAATTGTGACGTCATCAAAAGTGAATGACGATATGCATGCCCCACATGTGTTTTTGTTTACAAACATGACAGACCACTGTCGGTGGAGCTATCACTAAAATAATAAGATGGGAGAAAAATAATCATCCCTACCTTGAGGGTGTAACAGAGAAATGCCCAACCCTCGGGGTGATTATTTTTGTTGTCTAACCCTCGACAGAGCCTCGGGTTAGACAACCAAAAAAACATCATCCCTCGGGTTTGAGATTTCTCTGTCACACCCTCAAGGTAGGGAGATTCTATAAGTCAACCCCTAGAGGGAGATAGCCTCGTGCCGATTAGCACGTGTTCAATTGTGACGTCATAATGTGTCACCAGTAATTGTGACGTCACCAAAAGTGAGTGACGATAGTCATACCACACATGTGTTTTTGTTTAGAAACATGACAGACTACTGTCGGTGGAGCTGTGCCTGAAATAATACGATGGGGAAAAGTAATCTTCCCCTACCTTTAGGGTGTAACGGAGAAACTGATTTTGTTTGTCTAACCCTCGACAGAGCCACCAAAAAACATCAGCCCTCGGATAGGATATTTCTCTGTCATACCCTCAAGGAGGGGAAGATTCTATTTAATCTTACACCCCATTTTATGTAATGTGACGTCACAATGACTTAACAATAACGTTACGTCGAGAATCTAGAAAAACTCCGATGCCACTATGCGGAAAAGGCGACGCATTAAATTCGTTTAAGCTATATTTACCGATAACTTTAGAAAGATGAGTTAAATCTTTCTGCGAAAACTCTTTTTGCAAATATGGGGTATACTGAATCTCGCTGACAAATTCTTTTTCGTCAAAAAATCTGAGGGGAAACTTGACATTTCAAACTGGTAGCCAGTCCAAACGCAGTTTCATGGTTTCTGAGTTTTTTTCTGGTAGTTGGAGCGAGTAAGACTCAGAATTTACCAAAAAACCCTCCGGGTGGAATTTCCCAATCCTACACCCCTAGGCATGAAACAGTCTTAAAATATTCAACCTATGTTTCTGGAGATATGTGGGGGATGAAATCATAAGCAGTCCTTGTTGACAACTTTTTGTTAAGCTTGCTCGGATTTTTTTCCATCAAAATAACAGATGGATGGGACAATGTGTTTCTTTCCTTGTCGACATGTTTCGTTCGAAGATTAATTTTATCAAAGAACTTACCAGGACCCGTAATAAAATAAATCTTTCCAATTTCTTCAAAAACGTCTTCTGATATATCAACAAGTTTGTCTATACATGACAATGACTATATTGGTCCCTCGATTGTAAATGCCCTCTTGAACCCAAAGTAATTTCTATTTCAGATGTTTACAGGACGTAGATCTTTACTAAGATGTATTTAATAAGTGATGATTTAGATTTGCTTATTTTTAATTCTTTGAAATGCTTCCCCGACGTTGTTAAAATGCCACAGAAGACTTAAATAACGGCACCAATAATAAATTGTTGTCCTTGTTACTGTAACATTTGAGAAATAACATATAAGCATCTACCTGCATTATCTCCTAATGGCCAAATGACGGAGAACATTAATGTACCTTGCGGCAGTGTGATAATGACGATAGGTAGTCATACCATTAATAACGAAGAGTAATCTTGTCAATAAATTATTGTCGACGCATTACATCTTAAAATCGTGTCCAAACTGGTCTTGTCACGGTGTGTAACATGTTACTCTCTTAAAATGCACAGCCTGGTAGCTTGATACAACATTACGCTGCAGTTGACATTACCTCTTTCCGGGATAACATTTGAATTTTTAAACCTATTCTGATAATGGGAATGCTCTCATGAAATACCTTTGCCATGTATTTGTTAATACATATATATGTTGCATCAATTTACATATAACAATTGTGTACCTTTGCTGTCATAATACCCTCGACCCAACGAATCAAACTTTTTGTTGTATTAATAAATTGAGATTAAAATTGCTGAAACACTGCATAATTGGTCGTAAGTGGAACACGTAAACATCAGTTGATATATCCCTTATGGCAAAAACATGCGACAGAATTTTGTTTTCTCCCACTACAAACTCACTAACCAGGTAAATATTGAAGTTTCATGGTTTAGTTATGGTTGAAATGTGAAGCACAGGGTGTAGTATCATACAAATATAAGTTTAATAAATTGGAAATAGATAATCACAAATTTATTATTGTAATAGAAATTTTGTATGAAACGAACTTTGTATTCTTTTAATGTTCTAATGAAGGTTCAACCCAACAGACAGTGTACTATATTGAGTAGCGTGACAGTGTTCGCGGCGAGTATTTGATGGCTGTTACATATCTACGACAGTTGAAGTAGTAACAACCACAGCGATCGTAGCCACTATCATGAAGAAAACCATGGCATTGGTTTCGATTCTTCTAGTGCTTTTTTGTGCTGCTGAAGTACACGGAGGACAATCGACGAATGCACCGCCATTAACTTCCCACGAGTTGCTAGATTTCTTACAACAGGCACTGAAACTGTTTCCTGACGCTATTACTTTGGAAGATTTGCTAAATACGATGTCCCTAGCCCCAACAATGGACGAGAAGAGTCTGACGACTATTTTTCAAGGGGCAAATATAGATATGTCGGATCCTTCACAAATTAGCAATGTACTGATTGTTTTGAAAGGTTTATACAGCTTAACCTCTTGGGGATATTCAAAACTTCCCAACGGAAATATAAACGACCTGTTCAATATGCTGTCAAAGATGGACGAACAAAGTCTGAAGTTACTACTTCGTGATTTAAACATAGATCAACTGAATTCCTCACAATATGGCGATGCACTGACATTTTTACAAGCATTGCACGATTCAGTAGGTGATGGTGGGGAAAATGTCAAACCTCCAACCGGAGATATAGCCGACTTGCTAAAGATGTTATCAACGTTGGACGAGCAGAGTCTTAAGTTGTTACTTCAAGGTTTAAACATAGATGGTGGCGCGCTGTCTTTTTTAACAGGTGCATTATCGGGGGGTAGCTTGAACTCCATGGACTTCAGTTCGTTAAGCTCCGGGTGCAGTGCAGCTTTGGATGTTCTTGTTGCAGAAGTGAAAGAACAGAAAACTTGGGCTTTAAAAAGTAAGTTTCTGATAGACATAGGGTAGAGCAAGACTTAAATATGTAGGTGTTTATTCGTGTGTGTGTTCATTGTATAAGGTTGAAATGATGAGATTATGAAGGTAATGTCTAGCAAAACCAAAAGTAAATGCAGTTTTTTAAAATAAACGCCCACAATATAGTGAATTTGTCATAAAACTTTAACAACTTTCACTTACATCGGTACATCAACAATCACGGAGGCGTATCATTGTCATGGTAACGAAGGTAACAACATTCAAGACGGTATATTTCTTTAATGTATCGGAATAGCCAAATGTGCAACACAATTTGTAAATATATTAAAAATTGAAGAGTGTAGCATTGCGCATCCGATAAATGAATGTTTCCTTACCACGCGTTACAAACAACCTTATGATAATGTGATATAAGTAAGCTCTTCTCAAAAATAATGGTATCTGTTGACCCGTGCTGACGACATTTAGTGATATTTACGTATTTGCTTTACCTAAAGATACAAATCAACGTTTCTTTTCTTTTGGTGTAAAGGTTCCATTATCAGCACGTCCAAAAATAAATAATATTAATAATAGATAAAAGGGTGCACTGAGTGACTTTATCTCTGCCTCCTGTGAGGTGATGTGACCATATAATGTGAAGTACGGTACCAGGTGATACCGTACTTTGTTGTGTTGTATTAAGATACCAAAACATATGATAGTTTAGGTACAGATACATTTATTTTTGACATAGATCATTTTTTTATGTATTTCAAAAGGCGGAAGGGAAGCATTAACCCAAATGCGGGCGATATTTGTTTGCATATTACGCACTTATAACTTTATAGATAGAGTCACAGCAGCTATCATGACTCGTTTTATGCATGTTTCTTTTAAGCCTGGCTTTGATTTTGTTTCCAATATTCGATGAACATAAAAATACGACACCAACGCTGACAAATAATCATAACTAAAATCGGTGATAATGGAACAAGATCAGAAAGATCAATATAGTATTGTCGTTAAATTCCTAAATATACATATAATATTTTCGTGGTCCTAAGAATCTTTATAAAATATAGCAGTATCCTTTATTAATTCCTTTATATGCAAAGCCACTTACAAAATATGACGTCAGTGGTGTATTCACGTGATAATAAGTAGTTATTAAACATGTCGAAATAACACCTACATCTACTGTATTGGTAGTTGCATAGACGGTGTGTTTTGCGCTAGTTTAATTATAATTCGACATTTGCTCACTAGTATTCAACGACTTTCACTAAAAAAATGGAATAAATTCATACAAAATGTTTTTCATTTCGACCCTTTGGACTACCTTTCCTAAAACCAAACTGAAGCAACGCCTACGACGATATATGATTGTTAACTAATTAAGACCATGTTTTAGGAAAATACAACAAAAGCCAAAATGAACTATGCTAAGGCGATATGATGAGAATGATTGAGTGGCAAGATTTTCCAGCAGACTGTAGACATTCCCATTAGAATAACTGTGCCCCTCTGTTGACCGAAGACAGGGACAGTCAAATTTTATAATATCGACGAGGTACTTTATTTGAATAACAAGAAAACCCTTGACCTCATATCGATCGTTTATACCCTCCAGATTTCGAAGCAACGACACCACAGAGCTTTCCACTTTAGCCGCTTTTTCGATATTTACATTCTACTTAAGGGACGGCTCACTACTTAACTGTACGGTAAGCGGCAGGATTTCGACTTCCAGTTAAGAACGTTCCCTTTCTTTGTAGCATCAGCCCTGTTTCGCTTAACATCGGTATTCACTTGTCGCATTTGATTTGGTACTCAAGAGTATGCTAGGAAAATAATGACATCTCTGATATATATAAATCGAGTTTGACTAACTATTGACAAGTAGTCTAGGAGGTAGGTTATGTTATAAAACAATCCCTACTACATGCGGCAATCAAGTTTTCTGGATATGATAACTAACGCAAGTTGTATAGCAATTCAGTGACGTCACGCCAATACTGGAAGTGGTGTATTGTATAAATCAAATTGGCGTCATATTCATAAGAAGCGACTTATGTGGGGACCCATGCAGGGGATCTGCGGTTGTGCCTTTTACCATGTACTTTGGAAGACGAAGGCGACCAATATACGTAATGAACATGTTTATTTTCCTGGCATGTGCTTTTATACAGTGTTCCGGTTTCAGGTGCTAGTTTTCGTTTTTATTAGTATATTGTACAAATGTTAATAACTAGTTTGGTTAAATTCAGCATTTTCTTTCAATATAAGTACGAAATCACAAAATGCTCAATACATAAAATGCTTGGATGATTATCGCGTTCATACCTGTGCATTAAGTGTATTGTTTTCCTTGTGTGTTATAACAACAACAACAACAAAAATGCTATTGATATGAAATAATGTGATCGTAACATTATTATTTAAATTACTTTCCTTTTCTTTAAGTGATTGACGCCTGGGGAAAGCCCCCTTCTGGCATTTTAACCGGAAACACGCATATGAGGGGATCATTTGATCAGTGTTTAGCTGTACAACCTGAGATAGAGAAAGGAACCCCATTTGCAACAACCTTCTGTGTCGCCGTAAGTATTCGTTTCCACTGCTGTCTTTACCAGCTGTACTGAATGCTCGTATATTCTGTGACGGACGTAAAGTTGCCATTTGTTATGATAACTGACTCACGTTGTATAGCGATTCAGTGACGTCACGCCAATACTGGAAGTGCTGTATTGAATAAATCAAGATGGCGTCATATTCGTTGACATTAACCGAGGTAGACGGGGATCTACCTCTTTTTTCAGCATCCCGAAGCGAGAGTATACATGACAGGCGACAAAAATTATGTACAGTAATTTATCAATATCTTACTCGGATAAAAACCAGCAGGATAAATGTTATCCGAATGAACATCTAATTCCATCACTAGACTTTGAATTGTCTTTTCTAAACTCAACACTGGTTATGTTTTAATATTGTCTCGATTCGTAATAAGTTCTTATCAATGAAATATATATGAATATCGTCCTATCATTCTATTTTATGTTTTTCTCATGATTAATTAATAGGGCAACATGGAGCCGTTATTTGGCATGTCTATAGGAATGTGTGTTCCGAGGATCTGTACTGATTCTGACGTGTACAATCTCACCAATGCAAGTACGTATAATTCACATTGCCTTCTCTACAACGGATCACGTTTTATTAGTATGGTTAACCTCAGGCTTATGCTTGTAATTGATATGAATACTAACGATATAATTCGTTTTCATTCGATATGATACAAGTTGTAGCCAATTTTTGTGGCTTTATTTCTTCTAATGCTAAACCTACAAAGTTTTTTTCCGTTAAAACTGCCAATAATATTGATGACAGAAGCTGAAACACTGAAACTGAAACACGACCACTATACTATGTAATTAGAACTAATTTTTTTCCTTTTTAATTTAATTTGCATTTTCTGCATTTCAACAGATGAGCCAGTCTCTATTACAAACACAATTTCATATGCTACCTTGACACAATATGTAAAACATGACTCAATGTACACCAGTAATTAAATATTCTACCACCCAACACTGACCCAAATTCTTAACTTCAGTAACATCTCGGTCATGATAGCTAACAAAGGTTAAACTGAAAGCGATACATAGCTATTAGCAAAATATGTATCAACAATTCGTAATATGTATATAATTCGTGCAATCAAAACAATCAATACACATAAATTATTTCTCAGGAACCATAATGTCACGTGCGAATTACCGCAATTCCAAACAAATGTCTCCATAGAGGAGTGTCACTGCAATGTTATAACACGCCGATGAGCGTAAGTAAGGAAAAAGAGTGTACTACTTAAGTTTGATCAGCTAAATAAGGGTGCAGAAGATATTTCTTAAATCTCTGATATTTGTAATTTATAACATATTGGTTTTAGAATCAAAATTGCCTGCAGTAAGATAAAAAAAAAATCATGACAGAACGCACTTTAAAGGGAAAATATGATTAAATGATAATAATAATAATAATAATAATAATAATAATAATAATTCGAGGATCTTATATACCGCTTTATCACAACCTAGTTCGTTGGTCGTTTCAAAGCGGTTCACAAATGTATTATCCGTGGTTATAGAGCCATTGCAACCAGACAATATCTTTCTCAACTCCCTGGGGAGCATACAGCCGGTGCTGCCACTTCGGCGCTCACATATTGCATTCTACAATTCTAGCACTGACCAACCACGTACTCATTTACAGCTGAGTAGACTGGAACAAGCAGAGTAGAGTATCTTGCTCAAAGGAACAACTCAATGCCGTGCCGTGACTCGAACCCGCAACCTTTCGATCACGAGCCCGGCGTCATACCGCTAGACTACCGTGCCTCCTAAACATACCTATTTGATCATATTTTCTTGATAAACTAAACCCAGAGGAGGGCGTTATCAACTACATAGGAATCCAACCACGTCGTTATCGTTGTTTAAACAAAGTGACGCATACCTGTCTTTCTATTTCACAATTAACGATAAAGAGCTATCAGACATCGGATATACTGTTACCGAGTGTGAAGATACGACGATCAAACACGGTCTTAAAAGAACTTGCGAAATAACTTGCATGATCGAGTTAACAATAATTGAACGATATGACATAGCTCAATGATGGATATAATCCTCACATGTCTCACATAATTATTTTAGACAGGGACTTATCTAACACGCTCTCCTAGAAAAAAAATATTACCACAGAATCAGAAAACCAAGAAATAAACCTTTTACTCCGCACTATGGCCATCTCGTCCACTGCAATGGTACTGAAGGGCAAAGCTTACGTAATACGGAAGGTAAACATGTAGTGTTAAGCGTTAATAATTTACAATATTTGGCTTCTAATATTTATACTTAAACTATAATTTTATAGCAAAGTGTAGTTCCAAATTTCCTTTGTGGAGGGAGAAGATTGAAGAAGGCATTCACCTTGAGCTAATACCATGAACATGGAGTATGAACTAATTCGCAATTTAGACAATCACTTATACGTATAGTTCAAATCAGGATATCATAACTGACTACATTTAATACTGATGTATAATTACTCAGCGATACTGTTGTGAATGTTCAGGTGTATAATAACATGTTTTCTTTACAGTGGTTGCTTTTATTCCCCTGAATGAACCACCCAACATCAACCATCTCCAATGTCAAAGAGAAATTGAATATGACACACCGGCTATCGCAGCTATGTATGACCAATTATTATTATTAATCATTAATGATCTTAGCTACTTGATCCTGAACATTATATATATTATGGAAGAAAAAAATATTAAAAAAATAGAAACATTTCAAAAAGATAATAACGTTAAAGTAAATAGTGTCAAATGAATGAATAAATAAACGGAAAGGAAGAAATATAAAATTCGATAACGAGTTGATTTGAGTTATGCTTATTCGTGTTTTGCTGATTCGTATTTTGCTGATTTGAGATGCACTAGACTGTCATGTGCTAATTCGAGTTGCCTCAATTGATTTTGGGCTAAATTGTGTTTCACTAATTCATATTTTTCTAATTCAAGTTGCACTTATTTGTTTCGCACTAATTCGAGTCGCACTAGTTTATGTTTGTACTAATTCGTATTGTGCTAGTTTGAGTTGTGCTAATCGAGTTGCAATACTTTGGGTGGCGCTTATTCGAGATGAACTAATTTGAGTCGCACTAATATGAGTTGCACTACATGTAGAAGTTTGTATAATTAAAGGTGCGCTAATTTGTATTGTGCTAGTTCGAGTTGCACTAATTCGTGTTGCACTAGTTCTTGTTTTGCTAATTTGAATTGCACTAAATCGTCGCTTGCTACTTCGAGTTGTTCTAATCGAGTTGCAATAAGTCAAGTTGTGTTTATTCGAATTGACATAATTGGAGTTTCAATAAATCGAGTTATACTAATGTAAGTTGTGCTCATTCGAGTTATCCAAATTATGTTGTGTTAATTCTTGTTGCATTGATTCGAGTTGCAATTATTCGACTTGTAATATATTGTGTTGCTTTAACTCGTGGTATGCTAATTCGAGTTGCACTAAATCGTGGTGCTCTGATTCGTGGTATGCTAATTCAACTAACTCAAGTTGTGCTAATTCCAGTTGCACTAATTCAGGTTTTCGACGTGAGCTATATCTCAATATGTATCGTGTCTTAGATTTCTATATGTCAGCGACCTTTCTATTTTGTTCCAGATGTGTGTGTTGTTTCTTCCTTGCCATGATATCAGTTGCTACAATGTTTGACATGTGTATCGTGAGTCCGGAAATAGAAAGAACTGCTAAGCCAGTAGTAGAGGTGCAGGACGATGCCAATAAAACAAAAAACGTGTTTTCCCATATCTCTACAGCTGAGGTTGGAAACATTCCTCAGCATTTGGATGTAGAACGTAACACCAATGGACACATTCAAACAAACGGTATCAGTCCTGGATCCGTTTACAAACTACATGACAACACCGTCCAACCAAACAACGAAATGTCGCAAAAGTACTCGGGTAAGGCAATCTTTATTAATCAAATTCTAGCAAGATATGAAGTTCTTATTAAATTACTTTCTACATATTGTGACACTTTTTATGTTTCGCTTTAAAAGAAACGTTATTGTTTATATTAGTCTTACATTGTAAACTTTGGACTTTGTAGATTGGTGTATTCTGTGATAATAAAACGTAATATCTCTTCTCTTGTTTTCTATTACAAAAGGAATGTGTGCAAAATTAGTTCTGTCCTTTTCTGCGTGGACCAATGTGAGGAGGCTGCTTAGAACCGACCAAGCGGGGACAGGTCTTGGGTCTATCCATGGTATTCGCTTCTTCAGCGTGACATGGATCCTCTTGGGACACACTTTCCTTTTTGCTGTCAGATCCTCATTTGTTGGTAAGTCTTGCGTATTGTTTTAGAACCAAGTAGCAAATATGTTTTAGCCAACGCAGCGTTCATCATAAGGATACTGGGAATAGAGACAAACTAAAGTTAGCGATTAAACATTAGATTATCAGGTTAAAAAATCTTCGAAAAAACAATGACGTGAAGTGTGACTATATTTAGCCTATTCGATTGAATTTAGTCTGGTCCCTCTTTAAAGGTCATAGCTTTGACATGATTACAGGATGAAGATACAGGCCCATTAGTCTTATTCCACATATATATATACAAAAATATCGTTGAAGGCGTAGATGTTTCTAACGATGTGTTCAGCTCATGCTGTAGCCCAGAGTTATACTGCATTTATACAAGGTATTCTACTATAACTACTCGTTTGCTATTTCGAAAACGTTTCACACATGAGAATGGTGAGTATTGCTTGGTTTTCAATTATGTACTTGTAACTATTATTGATATTTAAAGAAGCAGAAAAACGAGTGTTAAACAACCTAGTACAAACATTTCCTTCATTTTTGTTTTTCAGTGAACCGTGTTTCGTTTTCTGATGAGTTAATACATCGACGAAGTTTCACGTTGGTGAACAACGCATCACTGGCAGTTGATTCTTTTTTTGCTATAAGGTATGTTATGTAAACGCAACTATTGTTCATCTCACTTAATGGCATGCCTAATCATGTGTATAGCATGTCGTTTGACAGGTCATAGATATACAGAATCATAAATCAGTCAGTATCAGCTCGGGCTGTCTAATATTCGACTTTTAGGCTCATGTGCTTTTCATAGCATGGAATTCTTTTCACAAAAAAAGTCGTTTAGATTTGTTGTCTATACTAATTTGTAATTGAATCAAACGTGACGCTACAAATTCTGGTTGGGAATGTGCCTACTGGATGCCACTGCAGTATTTCCTAATTTGGAGGCTAATGTTCGACCCCCTGCAGGTTCAGGGAGTATTGAAGAAATAGAAAATGATCAACAGCTACGTTGAAGCACGCGGGATATGTATCTTCTCGTTCAAATTTGCCCACTCTTCCTTTTCGTCGTATCTTTTTTACGTACCGTCTTTACATGACATTGGCCGCTGGGATAACGTTAACCCAATACAAACAACAAATTTAGGGAAATACGTGTGAGAATGACCATAAATACACAAACTGTAAGAACGTTGAGAGAAAAAAGTTGTTAACATACATGCATAAATGAAAACCGTTACATTATGGAATATTAATATCTACTTGTTAAAGATATATACAACACGTGCACATAATTATAACAAGAGGCCCAGAGGGCCTGTATCGCTCACCTGGATATCAAAGCAATCATGGCAAAATATTCTCCAAATGAGATCTAAGGGAATATGCCAGACCTCAAGGCCAATCCTTGTAGCATATCTGTATTCGATTTTTTATGCAATTGTATATATAGTTATATGGTGGGGATCTCAACCATTTCCAAGTAAAAAAAAAATGTTTGGCCCCACCCCTTAGCCCGGGGGGTCAGCCCCACCATTTGTACAATTTTGAATCCCTGCCTCCTATGAATGCTTCCGACCAAATATGATCAATATCCATGGTATAGTTTTACGGAAGAAGTCGTTTATAGCAATATAGCCAAATTGCCCCTTTTTGGCCAAGCCCTCAGCCCTCAGCCCCCTGGGGGGTCAGCCCCACCATTTGTACAATTTTAAATTCCCACCACCACGGGATGCTTCCTGTCAAATATGGTTGATATCTATCTCTTAGTTCCAGAGAAGAAGTTGCTTAAAACAATATAGCTAAATAACCCTTTTTGGCCCCGCCCCTCAGCCCCCACGGGGGTCAGCCCCACCATTTGTACAATTTTACATCCCTTCCGCCCATGAATGCTTTTGATTAAATATGATTGATATCCGGTGCATAGTTCTACAGAAGAAGTTATTTGTAGCAATATAGTCAAAATTTCCATTTGTACAATTTTGAATTCACAACACCTAGGGATGCTTCCAGTTAAATATGGTTGATATCCATCTCATAGTTCCAGAGAAGATGTCGCTTAAAGCAATATAGCCAAATTGCCCCCTTATTGCCCCGCCCCTCAGCCCCCTGGGGGGTCAGCCCCATCATTTGTACAATTTTGAATCCCCACTACCTAGGGATGTTTCTCGTCACATTTAGTTAAATTCCAATAAATGGTTAAGAAGAAGAAGTCGTTTAAAGAAATTGTTGACGGACGGACGACGGACGACGGACGGACGACAGACAACGGACGACGGACGGACGACAGACAACGGACGACGGACGCCACGGTATGGCATAAGCTCACCTTGGTCCTTTGGACCCGGTGAGCTAATAAACCCTTATCTGTGAGTCTATGATGAGATGCTGAGATATTTTCGTGACAGGAAACACAGATGAGTGCAGTATTATGGTAATTTGCTGGTTGAGTTACTTTCATGGCACCTTAACAGTTTATAGAAATGAACAAATCGCACATTGCTGTGTTGAAGAATGTAACCACAAGACCGAATTATCCCTCCTTTTGTAGAATGCAAAGCGAACCTACAATTTCCAGTGTAGGATAATATATTTCACATAAGCCTGTCCTCTACCCATGTCATAGACTTCTGTTTTCAACACATATTCGTAAAAAACATGTATTCAAACAGCCTCGTGTACATACACTAGACATAAAAACACTATCCCAGTAGTCACACAGCCTCCTGTACACACACTAGACATACAAACACTATCCGAGGAGTCAAACAGCCTCTTGTACATACACTAGACATACATACACTATCCGAGTAGTCACACAACCTCGTGTATATACACTAGACAGTGTACATACACTAGACACCCAAACACTATCCGAGTAGTCAACCAGCCTCGTGTACATACACTACGAACCTACAATTTCCAGTGTAGGATAATATATTTCACACAAGCCTGTCCTCTACCCATGTCATGCTTTCAACACATATTCGTTAAAAAACATGTATTCAAACAGCCTCGTGTACAAACACTAGACATACAAACACTACCCCAGTAGTCAAACAGCCTCGTGTCCATACACTAGACATACAAACACGATCCGAGTAGTCAAACAGCCTCGTATACATACACTAGACATACAAACCCTACCCGAGTAGTCAAACAGCCTCTAGTACATGCACTAGACATACAAACACTGTCTGAGTAGTCAAACAGCCTCGTGGACATACACTAAACATACAAACATTATCCCAGTAGTAAAACAGCCTCGTGTATAACAACCCCTATCCGAGTAGTCAAACAGCCCCGTGTACATACACTAGACATACAGACACTATCCGAGTAGTCACACAACCTCGTGTACTAGACATACAAACACTATCGGAGTAGTCAAACAGCCTCGTGTCCATACACTAGACATACAAACACGATCCGAGTAGTCAAACAGCCTCGTGGACATACACTAAACATACAAACATTATCCCAGTACTCACACAGCCTCATGTATTAGACATACAAACACTATCCGTGTAGTCACACAACCTCGTGTATATACACTAGGTAGTCAAACAGCCTCGTGTATAAACAGCCTCGTGTACATACACTATGTACATACACTAGACATACACTAGACATACAAACTATCCGAGTAGTCAAACAGACTCGTGTACATACACTAGACAGACAAACACTATCCGAGTAGTCAACCAGCCTCGTGTACATACACTACGAACCTACAATTTCCAGTGTAGGATAATATATTTCACACAAGCCTGTCCTCTACCCATGTCATGCTTTCAACACATATTCGTTAAAAAACATGTATTCAAACAGCCTCGGGTACATACACTAGACATAAAACACTATCCCAGTAATCAAACAGCCTCATGTTCATACCCTAGACATACAAACACTACCCCAGTAGTCAAACAGCCTCGTGGACATACACTAAACATACAAACACTATCCTGATAGTCGTGTACATACACTAGACATCCAAACACTACCCGAGTAGTCAAACAGCCTCGTAAACACTATCCCAGTAGTCACACACCCTCGTGTACACACACTAGACATCCAAACACTACCCGAGTAGTCACACAACCTCGTGTATATACACTAGACAGTGTACATACACTAGACATACACTAGACATACAAACCCTATCCGAGTAGTCCAACAGCCTCGTGTACATACACAAGAGATTATCCGAGTAGTCAAACAGCCTCTTGTACATACACTAGACATAAAACACTATCCCAGTAATCAAACAGCCTCATGTTCATACACTAGACATACAAACACTACCCCAGTAGTCAAACAGCCTCGTGGACATACACTAAACATACAAACATTATCCCAGTACTCACACAGCCTCATGTATTAGACATACAAACACTATCCCGGTAGTCAAACAGCCTCGTGTACGTGTACATACACTAGACATAAAAACACTATCACAGTAGTCACACAGCCTCCTGTACACACACTAGACGTACAAACACTATCCCAGTAGTTAAACAGCCTCGTGTACATACAATAAACATACAAAAAACAGCCTCGTGTACATACAATAAACATACAAAAAACAGCCTCGTGTACATACATTAGACATACAAACACTATCCCGGTAGCATATGCCGGTAACAAGGACATTCATCTTCGTGTACATACACTAGACATTCAAACACTATCCGAGTAGTCACACACCCTCGTGTACATACACTAGACAGACAAACACTATCCGAGTAGTCGAACAGCCTCGTGTACATACACTGGACATACAAACACTATCCGAGGAGTCAAACAGCCTCGTGTACACACACTAGACACACAAACACTATCCGAGTAGTCAGACAGCCTCGTGTACATACACTGGACATACAAACACTATCCGAGGAGTCAAACAGCCTCTTGTACATACACTAGACATACAAACCCTACCCGAGTAGTCAAACAGCCTCTTGTACATACACTAGACATAAAACACTATCCCAGTAATCAAACAGCCTCATGTTCATACACTAGACATACAAACACGATCCGAGTAGTCAAACAGCCTCTAGTACATGCACTAGACATACAAACACTATCGGAGTAGTCAAACAGCCTCGTGAACATACACTAGACATACAAACACGATCCGAGTAGTCAAACAGCCTCGTGTCCATACACTAGACATACAAACAATATCCGAGTAGTCAAACAGCCTCTAGTACATGCACTAGACATACAAACACTGTCTGAGTAGTCAAAAAGCCTCGTGTACATACACTAGATATACAAACACTGTCCCAGTAGTCAAACAGCCTCGTCTACATACACTAAACATACAAACATTATCCCAGTCTTCAAACAGCCTCGTGTACATATACTAAACATACAAACACTATCCTGATAGCCAAACAGCCTCGTGTACATACAATAAACATACAAAAAACAGCCTCGTGTACATACAATAAACATACAAACACTATCCGAGTAGCCAAACAGCCACGTGTACATACACTAGACATAAAACACTATCCCAGTAATCAAACAGCCTCATGTTCATACCCTAGACATACAAACACTATCCTGATAGTCGTGTACATACACTAGACATGCAAACACTATCCGAGTAGTCAGACAGCCTCGTGTACATACACTAA